TTTTTTGCGGTACGCGGGCCTCTCACCGTTGTGGCCTCTCCCGTTGCGGAGCACAGGCTCCGGATGCGCAGGCTCAGTGGCCATGGCTCACAGGCCCAGCCGCTCTGCGGCATGTGGGATCTTCCCGGACCGGGGCACGAACCCGTGTCCCCTGCATCGGCAGGCGGACTCTCAACCACTGCACCACCAGGGAAGCCCTAGCACTACTTTTAATTAGTAAATTTAGGCACTGTGTTTAGGGAGGAAGTTATTTAACATTTCGTTTTGGCTTCAAATAATAGTGAGCTTTCTGGATGGTTTATTGTACAAACTAATTTTCTGGTATTTAATATAAAAATCTTATTTTTGTTTGAAGGAAGAAGAAGAAAATGAAACCTTTGAACTGAGCAGAGAATATGAAGAATTAATCAAATTGAAAAGGAGTGGCTCTATTCAAGCTAAAAATCTAAAAAGCAAGTTTGAAAAAATTGGACAATTGTCTGAAAAACAAATACAGAAAAAGATAGAAGAAGAACGAGCAAGAAGAAGAGCAATTGATCTTGAAATTAAAGAGCGAGAAGCAGAAAACTTTCATGAGGTATACTGTTTTATATTTAGCAGTTATAGTTCAGTAATGATGATGAACTTAACGGAAATAACACTGACTTTGAAATAAGTGTTGGAATTTACAGTTAACCATCAGTGTATATAATAATCTTGGAACTAAATAGCAAAAGCACATTAAGATCTTAAGAGACTTTGAAAGATTTCCCAACTCTAGCATTGTTCCAAAATGACTTTTATAAGAATTAAAGCCTACAGTGAACATCAAATGGTTCACTTTAGCAAAAATAGCTCAGAAATATTTATTGGCACAAGTTTTACTTTGAATCAGTAGAACCAGTGTATATTAAAACTCCGGAGATGATTCATACCTACTTTCTTAAAGATGAGGCCAACAAAGCCTATATGATATGTTCAAAGTCATGCCAATCATTCAGTGGCAGAGCCTAAATCAGAATTCAGGTGACATGAATTTGAAGTACCTCCATATGTAAAATAAGGAGGCACTCACTAGATGACCTATAATGGCCCTTCCAGCTTAAGGACTAATTCCATGATTATGAATATTGGTTTAAATAAGATCTGGAAAACTTATTGTCAAAATTGCCATTTCATGTTATATTTAACATATATTCTTCTAAAAATTGATTTTCATCATACATTTAACTATAAAACAGGTATGGGAATTTGGGAGGGCCTTCAGAGGAGATTGGTGAATAAAAAGAATGATGAAACTATGGGCAAATTCCAGGACTATAAGCAATTCATTATTACTGAGACAAGTAGAGTGCAAGCACAGCAAAAGATGACGAGGACGCAAGCACAGGCAAGATGAGCCATCTTAGATGCCATATTAAGGAACTTTGCTTTATTGGGGTGCAATGAAGGGATTTTTAAAACATGGAATGATATTATCAAATAGGCATCTTTATCGCAAGATCATGCTGAAGCTAAAGATGGCTTTAGATTTATGCACTAAAAAATTATTTGAAAGCCTACTATGTTCCGGAGACTGTTCTGGACACTGGAACTACATTGAATAAACCTGCAGTCCTTGCTCATATGGTGTTTAGAATCTAACAGGTGTGGGGCAGGAGACAGGGAATGGAAAACAATGATTGGGTAGTAAATAAAAGCTATGGAGATTAACAAAGCAGGGTAAAAGACTATAGAGTATGTGGTACAATTTTGTACAGGGTGGTCAGAGAAAACATGAGGATTTGAACTAGAACTGGAATGGAGAGGACTGATAAGTATGTAGGATACAAAACTGGCAAGACTTAGCTTGGAAATGGTGGTGGAGAGGAATCAAAGTGACTGGGTATACTAGGTAATAGGGGAACATAGGAGTTTGGTAGGAAGAGAGGTCACAAGCTAGACAAATGGAGATGCTGTAGAACATCCAGATATCAATTAAATTGATATGCAGCTGAACTTACTGCAACATATACAAAAACATAAGGACTTAGGGACTGGGTTATAAACCATTTTGTCACAGCTAAAAACTAATGCCATTGCTATTTTTAATATCTTCTATGTTGGGCCCTATGTTAAGTTTTGGGTACATAAAAGTGAATATAATATGCCTTCAAGAAATCCAGCCTAATGAGATGTATGAAAACAATTAAAATTGTTATTAAGTGCTAAGATAGTTATGTATTTAGTGTTATGGGATCAAGTAGTATGGAATCGGTATTCCTAGGAGATGTTTAACAGGGCTGAGAAAATGACATTTTAGCTGAATGTGAAGGTTGAATAGAAGTTTCGGTTAAAGAGGGAAAGCATTCCAGATTGGAAGGACAATGTGAGTCAACAGGAAGGTTGTAAAACTTTATCTGGCAGAGTGGAAAATAGGTTCAAAGGAAAGGTTCATATAATAGGTGATAGGATAAAATGTAAAACTAGGTTGCAGCTAGCTGAAGGGCCTTTTTAACCTTGTGGGCACTATAATCCGGGAACAATGTTAATAATCAGGTTTCTTTTTGGCTGCATTGGGTCTTTGTTGCGCGCGGGCTTTCTCTAGTTGCGGCGAGTGGGAGCTACTCTTTGTTGCAGTGCGTGGGCTTCTTATTGCAGTGGCTTCTCGTTGCAGAGCACGGTCTTCGTGGCACGCATGCTCAGTAGTTGTGGCTCGCGGGCTCTAGAGCGCAGGCTCAGTAGTGGTGCACGGGCTTAGTTGCTCCGCGGCATGTGGGATCTTCCCGGACCAGGGCTCAAACCCGTGTCCCCTGCATTGACAGGCTGATTCTTAACCACTGCGCCACCAGGGAAGCCCAAATAATCAGTTTTAAGATAGAGTAATAAAAGGCTTATGTTTACAGAATCCTGGGATCATGGAGGATAAACTGGAAGATGGTCATGAAGTTGGGGGCAAGGGAGAAAAATTGACCCAACTTTAACAAAACTGAGTTACAGGCAGGTGGTTGCTGAGAAGCCTAACATTGCTTCAAGATTACCAGGGAAACTAGATGATGCTACAGAGAATTCAGGAGGTCAGGAGAGGAGGGAGGGGTGAATAAACTATTTTGGACCTGTGAAGTTTGAGCTATATTTGGAAAGGTAATGGCAGTCTGAAACACAGGTACTGGGCTCAGGGAAGAGGCAGGAGCTACAGATTGTTTCAAAGTATAGATGTAGATAAAACCACCTTGAGAGTTAATAGTTGGAAGGTGAACGATAAAACCCTGGAGAACACCAACATTAAATGGACGGATGGGCCATAAGATCAGTTGATCCTTTAGAGACAAATCACATAAGGTAAAGAATTTAAATAAGCATGCATGTGCTTCTTTTTATTTTTTAAAAAAGGTAGTGAAACCTCAGAGCAGTGATACCTAGTCCTATAAAATTTGTAGGTAAAATAAATGAGGTAGGTGGATTCTTGTTTTAATGCTATTACTGACTCGTATAAAAGGATATGAGATTAGGACCTGGCTGATCTTCTGTAATCCATGAGGATGTCCCAAATTGAGTCTCCTGTGTAGAACCTGACACTCCTTCTATCATATCTCTCTAGATTAAGGGTCACTGAGATCCTGTGTTAGCATAGTCTTGGCTCTGAGTATAATCAACTTCCAGAGTAGGATCTTCCCCTCCCACCTGGTCATATATTTGTTTTCCTCCTTTAGAAAATACCTTCTCTTTATATTCCAGACACCTTTCAAGGCCTAACTCATTCATGTAACCTTACCTAATCTAAGAATTCCATCCCAGCTCCTGTAGCCCTTAACCTGTACTAACATTTGGTAGGTAAACCACTTAATTTCCTTAGTGTGTTTGACATTCTATCTAGATTTTACAAGGTGCACTCCAAAACCATTCCTTGCGTTTTTATCCCAAATTCATTGCCTATTTCGGTTGCCTGTAATATCCACATGCTTGGAGTATCGATGCCCTGCTAAGAATGCACCTAGACTCTAGAACAAAGATCATTCCATTTATAACGTGACTCTTAGTAGATTCATTTCCTGGCAACTTTTAACCTGGCTTTTCAGGGATTCAAGAAAAGGCAACTGTACTCAATAACTGAAAGACTGTTCATGAACTTTCTCCCAGTTAACTTATGATGAATCCTTTTCTTTCCCTTTTTTTTACGGTATGTGGGCCTCTCACTGTTGCGGCCTCTCCCGTGGCGGAGCACAGGCTCTGGAGACGCAGGCTCAGCGGCCATGGCTCACGGGCCCGGCCGCTCCGCAGCATGTGGGATCCTCCCGGATCGGGGCATGAACCCGTGGTCCCCTGCATGAGCAGGCGGACTCCCAACCACTGCGCCACCAGGGAAGCCCTACACAAAATTTTATCCAAAAATCCAGAAGGCAAGTTATTAACCAGGAGGGATTCAGTCAGAATAGCAGTTATTGTGCCTGCTGAAATATCCTGAGGATTTATTTTGTAAGCAAAGAATAACAATAACTGTTTAAGTCTGAAAAAAGAGGTCCATTTTTCTTTCCATGTAAGTCTCAGAAAAGCCTGCTATTAAAACTGCAGTTTAATACTTTGCTTGTTAAGCAAGCAAACCACTGTTTAACATGTACTTTTAACCCTATCTTTTAAATATAATAATAAACAATCATATCAACACTGTTCATTAACAATAATGGTAGTCAGGCTTTATGTTTATCCACTGAAGGTTAAATAATGGCATTAACAATAGAATTTACCCATTAGGTCTCTGGTTGTGTCTGATGTTCTAGCACTGTCCAGTATCAAATAAAAATTTGATTCAGGAGAACCAGAAAAACTATCCAACTTACTTTTAACTCCTCCTTCTACATTCATTGGAGCTGCGGTGCAACACCTCAAACTAATGTAAAACATTGATGAACCAAGATTTTTCTTATACAGGCAGTTATTTTACAGCTTGTTTCAAAATTTCCTTTATTGGTTGCACGTGGTACCTGGAAGCAATTTCCTCATAGTACAGTGAAATATAAGTGGTGGGATTTCCAGATAGACCCACAAGAGTCTAAGTAGTTTAGAAACCAAGAGTCGACTACAACTAAAGTACTTTTGAAACCATGGATTAACTGTACCCATAAGACCCCACTCTACTAAAACTGCTATCAAAAGCCAGTGAGTGATCTCATCATCACCAAATTGGTTTTACAGACTCACACTATTTGACAGTTTAATTCTGCTCTTAAATTACTCCCTTATTTTCATGGCTTCCAGCTCTCTCACCCCTAAACAGACTGACTCAGAACCATACTTCACCTCAATGATTTCCCCAAGTTCCACCATTGCCTCTTTCAATAGTTGTCGTCCTGTTTAGTCTACCTGAAAACATTCTTCGCCATTGCCCATCAATAAATTGTTGAATGGAATTCATCTCAGTTATTAACAAAGAAGAGTGAGGAAAGAAATCATGAAGTGGGAAATAACAGAAATTACATTTCTGTATTACATAGTAGGGTGAAGAGTGATATGGAGACTCTAACAAGAAGGAAGTATTTTAATAATTGTTAACAATGTATCATATCCTCACCCTTTTCTGTTACTCAGTATCAACAAGCACTGAGATTTGGTTGGGCAAATAAATACACCAGGACTCCAAAGATAATGTATGATCTTTACATTGGGAGAAAAGGATTCCAATAGTTAAGAAAATAGTTCACAAATGAAACTTTCATCTTTCCCAAATTGGGGGATGGTGAAAATCTCCATGTCTGCAGTGTGGCAAATAGGCATAACCAAACATGTTATTTTGTGCCTAGACATCTTCAGGACTATTAACATCTCAGTTCTTGCTGGTTTTTAGAAAACAATTCTTATTCTTGGCCCATTTTTGTGAAGGAAGAAGATGTTGATATCAAGCCTGCAAAAAAAAGTGAGGCTCCATTTACTCATAAAGTGAATATGAAAGCTAGATTTGAACGAATGGCTAAGGCAAGAGAAGAAGAAGAACAAAGAAGAATTGAAGAGCAGAAGTTATTACGCATGCAGTTTGAACAAAAGGAAATTGATGCGGCACTACAAAAGGTACCAGGCTTATATTTCCTTTATTTTCCAAAGATGACCTTTTAAAAACAATGAAGTTTCATGAGGAGGTATTAAAAAAACATTTTAATAGTTTTCAAGTAACTAAAATGTTTTATAAAATACTTTGTAGTAAGCATACTTATATGTTCTTTACTTTGGGAGGAAAAATATATTTACCTCCAAATTCTATTACTAAACCACTGTCCTGAAAATAGTACTATAGTATAAATGCCAACTTGAATGCACTTATTTTATTATAGAAAAGAGAAGAGGAGGAGGAAGAAGAGGGTAGCTGCAACATGAATGGCTCCACCATTGAAGATGAAGCGCAAACCAGATCAGGAGCTCCGTGGTTTAAGAAGCCTCTAAAAAACACATCAGTTGTAGACAGTGAGCCAGTTAGATTTACTGTTAAAGTAACAGGAGAACCCAAACCAGAAATTACATGGTGGTTTGAAGGAGAAATATTGCAGGATGGAGAAGACTATCAATATATTGAAAGAGGAGAAACTTACTGTCTCTATTTACCAGAAACGTTCCCAGAAGATGAAGGAGAGTATATGTGTAAAGCAGTGAACAATAAAGGCTCTGCAGCTAGTACCTGCATTCTTACCATTGAAAGTAAGAATTAATCACTCTTTGAATCTAGAACTTTTATTCTATTTAAAAATGTTTTCCTTTAAAAAAAAAAAATCACTTTTCTTCTCTCTTTTTTAGCTGACGACTACTAGGTCCCCTTCCCTCTCCCTGGAACACACACCCTCTCTCCCCGACTTTCTTACTGCATCCATCCTTTCTGTGGCGGGGCCAGAAAGGAAACTGGAAGTGCCACTATGCTGACTCTTCATTCCTTTCCCTAACAGTCTTCACAACACAAGCTCGTCTGAAAAGTACCTCTTTCCTTTTCAAATGAGCACCAGATTCACATTACGCAGTATACGTTGTTGTGTAATTTTATAATAAGGCCAAGTGGGAAATTTACTCAATTATTTCTATCAGAACCTATACAAAGGCTGCGTATTTCCCATGTTTACAGCAATGATGTTTAAAAAAATCATAAATCGGACATATTTTGCATGAAAGAATACGACTTATGAGCTATTCACACCTAAAATTAGTCTGAAATAGCTGAGTTAAGGAATTTGGAACCTATCAATTTGAATGGGCTTTTTTCCTCAGTAGTTTATCATTTTGGTTGTTGTAGTTTCAGAGTCTTTCTGAAGCAGAGATATGAGGGGGTAGGGGTGTCATTTCTCCCTCTGTGTGGAGAAAACAAAAAAACTAAAGACTTTTAAGAAACAATTGCCAGAGCAAATCTGATGGAAACCACTGCCTAATACAGAGTTCTGAGTGTTGAGAATATCAAACGTACTTTTCAAATGTGTGTGATATATATTCAAGCTTATAAAAGCAAATTTATGTTGTGACCTTGTCTGAAAAATTTATATTTTAATGAGAAAACTTTGTAATAGTTCATGCAGGAGAAAACAATTTCAACATAATCAAAGATTTCAAGATCTAGAATTAGATTTAGGGAAAAATGGCACAATCTTCAATTTTGAGTTTTTAAAGTGAGTTTGTAAATAATTAGAACCATGTACTAATCAAGTTGTTTTATATTTTAATTGTCTGGAAGACAATTTTATTTTACAATGTAAACCCATAATAAAGTCACTTCTGTATTTAAAAAAAAGTCTTTCAGTATTTTAGAAAAGAGACGAACATTTCCTTATAATATTCACCAATGTACATTTATTTTTTTATTGAGGAAACCATAATCAATACAAAATTACAGCAATCATGTACCCTTTTACATACAATGGTATTAAAGCAAACTCTAAACCACAGTTTGTAAAGTATTCAATTTACCTCAAGTCCAAGCTGCATCTCCCTAAGACACTGTTCCCATCACAGTAGCCATTTTAAGCCAATCTTCTTTTTACACGGGTAGTTTCTGTAGAGAACACTTTTCTCAGGACGAAAATGCATTGAGCATGCATAAGAAAAAATATATATATATGTGCAAATACATTTAAGAGTTTCTATAGGGGTATCACTGAAGAAAATAAAATCCTGGGACTTATTTGCTTTCTTAAAAGCACCAATTTAAAAAAATCCCTCAAAAGTTTACTGTGGCAAGAAAACTCAAGTGACTAAACAAAAAATAAGGTTATTTTCAGAGTCAAAATTATCTTTAACTAGGTATTGTTAAAATACATTTTAAAGTGAGGCAGAATTTTCAGAAAATAAAGACATCTTCATTAATTAGTAATTTCTACAACCTTATTCTAGACAACATAACTTTGCAGGCAGAAAGTGGTTCTCCTGGCAGAGTATTCAAACAAATGTTATCACTTTGAATACATTTCTATTTCCCTCTTAAGGTACTCTGTTTACTCCTATCCAAACCCACTCCTGTAATTAACTACTAAGGTATCTGTCTAAGGATGTATTTTACAATGCTCATAAACAACTAGTATTAAACCACTAGTTTTAGTATTAAAACCATTTTCATTAATTAAAAATAAAAGTATACTTCCCATTTCTAAAAGAAACATCAAACCATAAGAATTCTAAGTACTACCACACTAAGAAATCTTAAAAACAAAAACACATTGTCAAGTTTAAGTGCTAAATAAAATAAATCAATTTCAAGCTAAACATTCTTTCTACCACTCCTAACATCCATTGCATTCAAATCAACTGGCTCACCTTTTCTGCTTTCCATTTATTTCAAGGTTAAGATTAGCGCCATTTAAAAAATGCTTGCAGTATCAGTGAAGGCTTATGATAATGAATAAAAAAAATTCTCATGAGATAGAAACAATGCCCCAATATCTATTAGCATTCATATGTATTTTCTTTTATAAAAATGCAAACTACAACTAACCAAAACTTGACAGGCTCTTAAGGTTCAAAGAGCTCCTTAATATCAATCTTAACATACCTATCATGGACTATTAAAACACACATACACACACATAAATGTGGTGCAATAACTACATAACTTTCAAAATTTAACAGTTCATGGAACATTTAAGATCAAGTGAATAGCACTTTAAAATGAAAAGTGATCAAAGCAGGTACATTACACCCTATACCATATATTATGTATGGGAAAACATTTCATTTTTCTCAATTATGATTTGCCAATTTTACCTTCTACATTGAGCCCTTCTATGGTCCATGCTCATCGGCTCACCAATGGCATACACTCAAAGGATTCCTCTTATGGGTAACTATCTCAGGACCTGATTTTATGAGCTATGATTTGGTGCTTGCAGCATCTTCAGCACTGTGTGTGAAAATGAAGGCAGTATTTTTGAATATTTTTCTTTGTTGCAAAGATAAGCAGGAGTTTTAAAAGGATGAGCACATTTTAGAAATCGAATAAACAAAACTGATATGATGCTGCTTTAATACATTCATCTTAACTCAAAATATGTACCAGTTAAAATCATCTACAAGAACACACAAACATTTTAAACTGGCAAAAAATAAAATGCAGCGTCAGTTATTAAAGTATTATAAACCAGAAAAATATTGGTTGCTATATAGATTATGAAAGGTTATTTGCTATACAGTTAACATTTCACTGATGCACATGCCTTTACCAAAACATACTGCCAGTATTTCTTATAATTTTTTCCTTTTTCAGTGTATATAAAAAAGTTATGAAAACCGAATTGTCTAAAAAAAAGTCATAATGAAATTCTTGACCCATAATGTCCTTACTGAATTACTACAGTTCAAGAATAAGAAAAAAATAAAGACTCCGTAGCTTTGGAGGGCAAAGAAAATGTCTTGTCAATCATAAACAGATTGTGAAGGCTGTTGAAGTGTCTGACCAAATGATTTCCTAAATCTTGAAAACTACGTACTTGTCCTTTTTAAAATTTTAACAATTCTTCTATATTTGGGAAAAGTTCGGATGTAGTTTAATTACAGCAGCAATCTACTCATCATTTTTTCCCATTTTAATTTAAAAAATTAAAATAAAAAACATTACCCAGAAATGTAAACAGTTGTTTGAACAACTTAAAGACTTTCCACTGAAATGGTAGCATAAATAACAAAATACACTTTGGGGAAGCAGTAGCAGATTGCTTTTGAATACACAACCACAAAAACCTCACAGGGACAACATTAATGTACTGAAATATTTATTTATATATGTCCTTAGGTTGTGCTTACCTGTTGCTTTTTGCAGCAGAACCTAAGGTGGAAGGTCTGGGAAGGCACTGTGAAGTATAAATAATTGCACTGTTTGCAATTAATAAAGATTTTAAACCTTAAATGAATCAAAATCAACAGCCTCCAATTTGTGAGTTATGATATTGAATCCAACTGAACTATCTCTTCAGTTTAATTAATAAATGTACCACTTTCCTAAAAGTTAATCTATAAAACAGTATCATGCAAAATACTGAAACTGTTCACATCAATACCCTACTCTTAAAGATAACAGATAACTCCTTAACTATTAAACTTGAAGCTAGAACTACATATCCATATCTAAATAAGGGTAAGGGAAGTCACTCTAGGTTCTATAAAACAGTCAAAAAACATTTCAAAACATCTACAATGAACTGTACTGCTATTTTCTACCCTATAAGTAATCTCAACATTTATGTCCTTGCACATCTTTCTTTATAGTATATTCAGAACAGCAAATGGTGCTCCCCCACCAATGAAAGAACTAGTATATATATATATAGGAAATGGTGTTAAAACCACTACATTGCTTAATATTTGCAAACTGAAAACCACTCTGTCTGACACATTTCAAGTCTTTCATATTAATATATAAGATATGCATGTTTTACACTGAAAAACAATATATTTTAGGAGCACCAATGAGTAATACTATTCAACTTTGTTAATGATCAGTTTTCTTTAGCTATAGCTAAAGCATATCAAAAATACTTACCCATTAAGCTCACTTTAAAAAAAAAAATACAGACCTATGAATTATTCTATGTTAAATTAAGAAGCAGTTATGGTTTTCCAAGATATAAGCACTGTATTCCAACATAATATTCACACAAAGTATGGCATTTGCATTATGTGGAACATTGACAAAAAGATACTGTTGCAGTTCATCAATTTGTCATTCTGATGTACTTACAGTGCAATGCTCCTTGAAGGAACACAATCAAGGATGATACACAGCACAGTCCTCCTCACCCCTACAGAGCTAGTTCTATACTGGCTGGATCAAACCTGCACTTCAACAGACAATGGCAAGACAGACTGTATTTGCATGTAGTCTAATATATTAATATGCAAAGAGCCAACAAATATGCAAAGAGTAAAACAATGGATTTCAACAAAATATCAGAACTTCAGCATGAGTGTTATAGAGTAATAAAATGATTTTAAGTACATAAAAAAATTAAGTTGATTCAATGATTGGACTTGTGCATTTACAAAACAAAGCTTATCTATACTGCAAAAAGAAAAAAAAGAAAAAAAAAGCTTGAACATTTTCATACCCCAATAATGTTTCAATGGCAGATGCACTGTAGCTATACTTTTTGCACACTACTTTTTCTACCCTAAATTTAGAAAGAAACACTCTAATATTGTATACATTTGCAAGAGCTGCTTTACATGAAAAAACTGTTCTTATTACAGACTACTCATATTCACTGTCCGAAAACTGTTTAAAATTAGTTATGCTGAAATAGTCTTGGAAATCAAGTAATTATCAAATTAAAAACAGAAAGGTTAACTGTTATAGCAGCAGTACAGGTCTCAAACAGTGGTCATGTATAAAAGGAAATTTCACTGTTAATGCAATGGAAGTATGCCAAAAGATCACTGTACACACATGCAGTTTTTAATCAAACAGAAGGGGAAAAAAATGAAGATATCAGGATTACTTGTGCTGAAACAGCCAAATACAATAAATGGAAAAGATCCTCCAATCTACTACTATACTGCAAGGGGGAAAAAGACATGCCAGTGTTTAAAAACTCAAATTAATATTTCATGGGGAAAGCTTATATATTTGTGTATATGTATCTTAATTTATCATTGCTAAGAAATTATGAATCCTTTAAATACCCACATATCCAACTTACCGACACAGGAGGTTTCATATCATTTATTGTAAAGCACAAAACAGGCATTTTAAAAGTGAAAGTATACATTGAAAAAAGTACATTTATATCACAAAGCATTGACCACATAATAGTTGCAAATACATTTGCTGGAATGTGTACATCTACACTAAATACTAAAAACAAACCAATTTTCATTTCTACACAGAAATATTAACCTCCTATCAGTAGTGATAGATATTTTGTACATTTTCAAAAAAAAAGAAAAAAGAAAGAAAGAAAGAAAGAAAAAACACTATTTTAAACCAAAAACAAAATTAAGATCTTCATCAAGCCGTCTGCATCCATATATTTAACAAAGGTTTTTTTCCCCCACACAATGAAGCAAATACTGTATTGTCCACTTCTTATTATTGGCCCTGTGCAGAAGAGATACATAAGAAATACACAAAAAGTTAAAGAAAATCCTTTAAATGGAGCTAACTCAGGAGTGAATCCTTTAAGAAAGAAAAACTGGTTAATATAAATGGTGGTGGCTTCTTGCATGATTTGCAAATCCCTGGGGGAAAAAAATTTATTTTTAAAATCAAAGGCATTATAGAGATATCTAGCACTCAGATGCCAGAAAGCATTGTAAAAAACAAACAAACAAACAAAAAAACCCAAACAATATACCACAGTACTTCATTTAGTTATACTTTGCCTGATAAAAATTTAAAAGGCAAACATAATCCCAGACAACAGTAAACATGCAGAAAACAGGACTGGAGTTGAAATCAACACATTAGCAAATTTATTATACCTGAGGTGCTGGAGGATGCTGTGGCATTCCCTGGGGACTTGTCTGGGCGTAGTAGGCTGCTTGTTGTCTATAGTACTCAGCCCAGGCTGCACTATAATCTGGCTGACCACCTGGTGGAGCACCAGTAGGGGCAGGAACTGCTTGACCTTTGAGAAAACAAAACAACTTTGTTGCTGTAACCACAACTAAAAGCCCCAAAGAATCTCAGTTCTAATAAAAACAATACCTTGCTTCTTGTAATATTCCTCCCAAGCCTTTGAATAATCTTGTGTCTGCCCTTGTTGACCTAAAAAAAACCCCCTAAATTTTAATACAAAATTATATCCACTGTAAGTACAGGTTATAAAGACAAAAGCAGAGGGTCAGAATTGCTCCTGTTTTATTTTAAATATTCATTAGTGTCAGAAAACTACTCTGTAATTTAAAAAAAATCTAAATGCTCTTTTATTTTCTTTTTGCCTTATACTAATCGTAACTTTTAGTTCTAGAGCATCACTATTAATAAAAAACAAAGCCATCCACATAGCCTTAACCAAGATAGGTAAACATTTAGGCATAATCTCGATTCAATTACAGAATTAATGCTCTAAATTCAGTCTGGAACAGCAGTCCACGGTTCCCCAGTGGTGATGCTGGGAGGAATGGATGGACCACTATTTTTTTTTTTTGTTTTCTTATCCATTTGGATTTGTTACACTACAAATTTTAAATAAAATGTAAATCTTCAATGGAGAAAAAGAAAAAACATTTTTTGAGGAAAAAAACCCACTTAAAAGCTATTATTTAAAGACTTCATTATTTTAAGATCTGGCCAACATTTTTGTTTCCTGATAAGTAACCTATAAACTACATGTATAAACACTAATCTTCAAGATATCTTTTAATATGACATTTAAAGTTTTCATATGCTGTGTCCAAATTACAACACAATTTTATTAAAAATAACTTGATGAAGGACATAAAGAATAATCACTACTGAAGAGGTTCTAAGAAGCAAAATCAATGAAACACAAAGCTCAACAGCTTGCGCAAGCACGTTCTTCTAGGTGACTTTCTGGAATTAAGAGACTCAAGAGACACACTCAAATGCGACGCATGAACCTTGAGGTCTCTGGATTTAAAAAACAAAATAAAAACAAGCCCCCCGCCCAACACACAAATAGCTACAAAAGACACTTTTTCTGACAACCAGGGAAACTTAAATATGTTGATATTATTGAAAATTTATTTAGAGCAACAGTTGGCAACTTACTTTGAAATGGCTCAGGCACTAAAAAAAGTATACATACAAAGTACATGTTGCAAACTTTTTGAAAATGGTCAATCTGGATAGGAAATATAAACATGGGTGTTCGCTGTACTATTTTTCCAATTTTCTGAAGGTATAAAAAAATTTGAAACCAAAAGTTGGAGAGAAAGAGAACCTGAGTTTCCCTATTTAACTCCTTTATTTGAAAAAAAAAGTTATTTAGTTTGTAATTTATCTGACTTTATAAAATTATTACAGCTAGACAAAAAATACTGGCAGAAAGCTGTTTTTGTTTGTTAGATGTTGCTAACAAGGCAACTTTATAGTTTTAGAAAGTGGTCTATTCAACATCACAAAATTGGCCAAAGAACAAAAGCAACTGAGTAAATAAAAATTTAAGATTTATGACTAACTTTAAAAATGCAAGAAACTCCCCCCTACTTATATGGGCAACAGCACAGAGAAATCCCATATACTGTAGACAAAATTCTCACACTTTTGTTTTCCATACTCTTTTCAAAGAGGAAGTGAGTCTAACATTTTGATCTTATGAGGAGACACAATTCAAGTAAATCTAAAACCAGTTTCAGTATTTAGACAACTGCCAAATATCTTGGTACCAATCGTAATAAAACCATCCATTTTCTTACAAAACTGCACACTTGAAAACTTGCTGACTTGAGGCCAAACTTATTTAAGACAGCAACAATTTCCACTTCAGGTTTACAAATGGAACTAAACCTCACTGTTAAGAGATACTCATATTTTAGAGGCAAAAAAATAACAATATCAGGGAGACATATCAAGAAAATTCACCAAACTCAAATGTTCCCTGAAAAACACCCCCCATCCCAAACTCAAATATCCTTGTGGAAAGCTAAAAGTAAACATGTTAGACTCTAAGAAAAATAAACAGTTGGTTGAGTAAGTCATCAACATTTGACATTCCAATCTTGAAAGCGTCCACAGAAAAACTCATTCCACTCCTATGTGAAGGGCAAATGTCATTCTTTTTGCCCAGGTGAAAGCAGGAAAAGAACTGTTCCTATCTAATCTATTTATGTTTTGGCTCTTCCCCTAGCCTCTTGCCCCTTGGAAAGCCATGTCCTTAACTTGTTCCCTTTATTCAGTTTCAAAAACTGTTTTGATATGAGATAATTTAGAACAATACTTAACATTTACATGTAACTTTACAATGTATAAAGTCTTAATTTCATTTCATTCAAGAGATAAGACTTGTCCTAGAGTTCATATGTAACATTCTATTACAGCCCAAGAGACAGCCTTGCTTGACTTCACCCTGTTATTTCTCCATACACCTGCATCTTTCCCACAACCACTCTCGCCTGGCTCTTTTAGGCTAGGTACCATATGCTAAGGGTTCAGAGTCCACCATATCAGTGCTTAACATTAAAAGGGACTCCGCCTCAAGTCAAACTTATCCCAAAGTGCCTTCATTTACTTTCCTCCAAATAGAAACTGCCTGTCTCTATTCTGAAACCCTGTTTCTTTTTAGGGTGTTCACTTTTTTACAAAAGTTCCCTTCATTCTAGCTTCAAAAGCACCCACATCTAGACTGCTGTCATTCCGTATAAGACAGCGATATGAATTCCTTAAAGTTTCCGTCTTTAACCCTCCAGAATCTCATCTTTAAGAATTTCTCTCTTAAGTTCTCTTCATGCTAATCTAGGTAATTTACAATTGTTTCAGAAAACAGAACTAATTAAAAAAACACATCTGTTTCAACAGACTTTTTTTTTTTTTTGCGGTAAGCGGGCCTCTCACTGTTGTGGCCTCTCCTGTTGCGGAGCACCGGCTCCAGACGCACAGGCTCAGCGGCCATGGCTCACGTGCCCAGCCGCTCCGCGGCATGTGGGGTTTTCCCGGACGAACCCGTGTCCCCTGCATCGGCAGGCAGACTCTCAACCACTGCGTCACCAGGGAAGCCCTCAACAGACTTTTATTAATAAGCAAACTGACAAATCTACAGTGTTAGTGGGGATTTTCTGTTCTTAACAGAAAAAGCTGAAATGGCTTCAAAAGCTGAGACAGTCTCCCTCGTTTGGTGACAAGGGCACTGGATTAGAAATCAGGACACCCTTACTGGACTGAATGTCAGTATTATGACATAGTATGAGTGTGTTTCGTGTTTGATAATTGTAATCATTGTTGCTTTTGTTGTGGTCATCCATTTACAATGCTTGGTGTCAGTTTGTTTATCTCTTGTAAAAATAAAATACAGTGCGTATGTGGGGGGAAAAAAAACCTCATGGGAACAGCAAACCCCAAAACTGCAATAGATACACAAAAAAGAAAAAAAAAAAAAAGAAATCAGGACATCCAGAGTCCTAGGAAATCCTACCTATGCCACTAGGAAGAGTAAAACTCCATCTTTCCAAATAAGGGAGTTTGACTTAGAGATAAAGATCTTTCTCTCTCCCTGATATTTTATTACCCCTTTCTTTCCCTTCCATTTAAAAACATCAAAAGATTGAACTGATTAGTTTGATGCTTTAAGGTTTCTTATTTGTAGTTATCCTAAAAAGATCTTAAGGACAAGCAATGCACCTAGAAGAAATCAAAGTAGTTAAGCAATCAATCCTTTACAAAACAAAAAAAGACTTATACAGGAAAAATATATGGACCTTGTAGCTATCATTAAAGACCTGACAACCTAACATTATTTAAGATTTACATGTAAGGGGGAATCACTCAACCAGTTCACTTTGCTCATAAAATTAATAGCTTATCATTGTGCTGCTACAGAAAAACATTCAAGTGAAAAGAAGGTGGGGGTTAGGAGGATATTCAAACATGGTGTTATGGCAAAGAACACTGAAATTTATGTTGAGAATCACAAGTAGACTGTACCTTATGACAAAACTATCACCTATAGATACTTTCTATATCAGTGAAGAATGAGCAAGTTTATCTTATTAGCTTCTGTTTGTGACAACTGGCTATGGTGTGTTAATTTTGAATGACTGAGAATAAGAATCTGGAAAAAACCCGGTCTGTTCAGAAGTATAACATCAGGTTTGAAATGGTTCCTGAAAAATGCAATTCAGGAGACAGGCTTGGGACTTAGACCCTCTTAAGAGTTCAAAGTCTGGTTCCACCACTTTGTAGTTGTGTGACTTGTTGTCCAATGTGCACATCTAAGTGTCAGTGAACAGAAAGAACCCCATCCAAGGTTTTGCTTTCTGCAGTGAAGTGACCTGTGGTCAACCATAGCCTGAAAATATTAAATGAACAATTCGTAAGTTTTAGATTGTGCACCATCCTGAGGAGCATGATGAAATCTCATACTGTCCCTTTGTCTAGCATATCCCACCAGTTAGTCACTCAGCAGCCATCTTGCTTAAAAGATTGTCCTGGTACTGCAGTGCTTATGTGTCCAAGTAACCCTTATTTTACTTAATAATGGCCCTGAATTCCAAGAATAGTGATGCTGGCAATTTGGATATGACTAAGAGAAGCCTTTTCCTTTAAGTGAAAAGGTTAAAAGTTCTCCATTTAATAAGGAAAGTATGTCAGTATGCTGACTGAGGTTGCTAAGATCTATGGTAAGAACAAATCTTCTGTGAAATTGTGGAAGAGGAAAAAGAAATTCATCCAAGTTCTGCTGTCCCACCTCAAAATGCAGGTTACAGCTACGGTACGTGATTAGCTGCTTAGTTAAGATGGAAAAGGCATTAAATTTGTACAACGTATTTTGACAGAGATCACATTCATGTAACTTTCATTCAATATACTGTTATAACTGTTCTATTAATGTTGTTACTCTCTTACTGTACCTAACTCATAAACTTTATCATAGTTATGTACGTATAGGTAAAAAGCACAGTACATATAGGGTTCAGTACTATCCGCACTTTCAGGCATCCATGCTGGGGCGGGGACTTGAAACATATCCCCCATGTAAAAGTGGGAGACCACTGTACAGTTTTCATTCACAGCAGTTTGCAATAATATATTGGCAAAGCACTTGATTGGCAACTGTACTCTCCATTAGAATATAATAACCAGAAGGGCAGGGCTCCTAAGTGTTATGCCCACAGTCACATTCTCAGTATCTATTCCTATGCTTGGCATATAGTATATGCTCTACATTTATTGAATGGAAACAGCCCTTCTAGGTGACTGTTTTTCCTTTTTCATAATGCAAATGTTATTTAAGTAATTAACTTCCTCTGTCACTGTAGGTACTTCTTTTTTTTTTTTTGCGGTACGCGGGCCTCTCACTGTTGTGGCCTCTCCTGTTGCGGAGCACAGGCTCTGAACGCTCAGGCTCAGCGGCCATGGCTCACAGGCCCAGCAGCTCCACGGCATGTGGGATCTTCCTGGACCGGGGCACAAACCCGTGTCCCCTGCATTGGCAGGCGGACTCTCAACCACTGCGCCACCAGGGAAGCCCTGTAGGTTACTTCTTATCTGTTATTTTGCAGCACAAATAATATCACACGCAACCAATTTTTGCTTGGTGCTCTATAATTTAACCGGTGCCATTTAGGTTACTGACATGTAACTTACCTTTGACAAAAGTATAGGTAATATTCAATGTCCTATGTGCCAGTGGGGAAACCTTTAGCTTGAATTAGTAAATGGCTGACAAATGCACTTAGAAATAAAAAGATTTCTTAACCACAAATTTAACAATTATTATTTGTAATGACAAAGATACGTCTGAAAGTTCAGTGATTTTGGAATGCATTCTTGTTCAATAGTTCTATACCTCAAGATTTTAAAAGTTATTGGATGAAAGAAGTCCAAGGTAATAAAAACATGGAACAAACATGCTTTTTATCAAAATCTTCAACCTTTTAGTGTGATATTTACTAAACGTTTCAGTTTAATAAAATGTATAAAAAAAGAAATGTAGAACATACCCATTTTCTTGTAGTACTCTTCCCAAGCCTTGGTATAATCAACCTGTCCAGTTGGAGCTGGATTCTGCTGATCTCCTTATTTAGGAAAAACATAAAAAATTATGATTAAGGTTTTTAAAAAGCAATTTTGGCCCTTTCCTTCTGTTTTTTGTGTAGAGGAGTTGGGAGTAGCCTGTCATGGAAAATGAGGGTAGGAGAGAAGTGCTGTGTGATAGTGGCATCCTTGCTGGTGCCAAAGACACAGGACTCTGGGAGTACAGAGATAGTGTACAGAGAAGATGGTCTATTTATTTAGAAGAGTAGTTACATTGAGCATATTAAGTAAATTCACTGGTCAAATAAAACACACTGACGATACCAGGTCTTTCACCATTTATAAGCATGGAAAGTGGGAAAAGCTAGAAAGAAGAACTTTGAAACTCTGGAATGGAATTGCAGGTGATATGAATGTACAGTTTTAGAAATACATACACATATGGATATTTATGTATTTTTATATGTATGTAGATATGCATGTACATAAATTCATTTCCTAGCTCTGTACACTGAAAGGAGCTAGTAGCAGTAACACTTCAGCAGCAATGAACACAACTGTTAAGTTTCTAAATATCATCATCTACTAAAAGAAATCAGGGATCATTGGAAAAATGGCTGATTCAAGGGCTGGAGCTCAAAAAGCACAATACAAGCATCTTATTGTGCAAGAAAGTGGGGAAGTGCTTAAAGAATGACAGGCATGTCAAAAGGATACAGGAGCCATCTTAAAGCTACTCCTGACTGACCAAATCTAGGACAATCTGGTTAAGTTAAAAACATAACTTACTGAATAAAACAGGAATCCATACTGACATAGAGAAATAAACAGAAAGAAAAAGGAAACCTCTTCTATAGTAAAATACCACCTAATAAATGCAGAATGAATGATGGAAGGAGAAATTGTCATGTGTAATTCAATCAGGCAGCTATTATCAATGAAGGCTAAGGCCTTCAATGAGGAACATAATCCTAAGAAAGTTTAGCTTAGAAATCTTAGGAAGTTTTCTAAGGAAGTTTAGCTGTGGTACATGTTTTGATCAGAAAGGTAGTTTTCTCTTTGCTCTAGTAGTTTTATAATTTGTACTAGTTCTTTGTTTTCACTATCATTTGTTTTTCAAAAAATGTTAAGATTAAAAATCACATCTCATCAAACTGAATTGTAAAACTTCTACTGTATCTTTATTTTAAGGAAAAATGAGAATAAAATTATCCTGTTTGTCCTGCCCCCCTCCAAAAAAAGAACAGAATAGTGGTATAATCTCAGTATAACTCTCCAGACAGTATTAATTTCAAAGAGAAAAATGGTGATTTTATGGTATAGAATCTTGGCAGACATCAACATGACTGAGTGACCATGGTTACCACCTCTGGGGATAAAACAGGTCCACATTATACGACCCCTACTGTAATGCACTAAGAGAACAGCATTCATTTCTGAAGTATTCTTGCCATAATGTAAGCAGGAACCCTGATTGTGACCTCATCTTCATAAGAAAAGGTTGAAGGGACAGGTTGATCCATAAACATCTCACAAAAGGTCTGTACTCTTTTGAAAGAAAAAGACAAGAATTATTCTTGATTGATGAGAAGCTGATGGAACAATTGGTGAAATCTCAGTAACGACTGTGCCTTGGGATATGTAAGAAGTACCAACGTTGATTAAAGAGTGCTGTGTGATGGTTATTTTTGGAGAAATACAGAAAGAAGTATTTAAGGGTAATGGGGCATTATGTCTATAGCCTGGTCTTAATGGTTCTGAAAAAGACTAATGATAATGGATATGGACACATGTGATAGGGTAATGGATCAAATGGGGAAGATAAACATCAACAGCTAAATTATCTGGATGTTCTTGGTAATGTATCTTATAACTTTTATGAAAGTTTGCAGTTATTTCAAAGTAACTTGTTTTTAAAAAGCAAAGGCTGCTTACTGAAGCTGTTAATAATATTATAAATTTGAGGGTAATACACCGATATACTTTATATATAATTCCAAACACAGGTTTTCACTTCCACAAAGAAAAAAAATTCTTTAATTACCATAGTTACCTTGCCCATTGGTTTGGGTTGTAGTTGGTGCACCAGCAGGAGCTGCAGGCGGTGGCTGTGCTTGTTGTTGATAATAGTGAGCATAATAAGCAGCCCAAGCTGCTGAATTTGGATCTGTTCCTGTTTTAGCTAGAATAAACACAAGTTCTATATTTGTATCTAAAGTCCATAATCAATCACACACACACCTCTCTAGCAAATATATAGACCCCCAAATTAACATTAAAAAACAGTAAGTGTACACTTTCAAATTCTTCTATTATTTTTACTGTCATCAATAGCTTTTATTATAGAAAACTTAGGCTCAGAGATTAAGTAACTTTCCTAGTTCCTAGAAAACTAGTGACTGGCAGAGTTGGGATACGAATAAAGATCTTTTGGTTCCAAATCCAATGCTTTGTCTCAAACCATCCTGTGCCCTTCCTTTTCTAAACCAGTTTTGCCTCAGGCACAACAGTTTTATGTGGCAGATGACTAAAGGAAAGGAATTCTAGGGACTAACCTGTACAAGAAAGAATTATTTTACAACTATGAACTCTGTCCTATCTTGTTTTCAATGAAAAGACAACTTAAAAACCTTGGAAAAAGAAACAGATTCGCCATATTTCAGTGATTATCCTAAAAGGTAAACTTGATGTCACTGCCCTATTTGAAATTCATTAATTTCTTGGAGTCTTTAGGGACTATTAAAGCTTTTAAGTACAGATTATCATTCAACATATTTAACAAGATATTTGGACACACTCGCTTATACTTTCCCTTCCAGCCTCCTCTCCCTGCTGTCAATATTTTTCCAACACTCAAGTTCTGGCCACAGTAAATTGGCTGTACTTTTCAAAAGTCATCATGCTCGTATTTGGGCGTTTCACCATGTTTGCTTCCTCTGCACTTGACTGTCCCTCACTCATCCTTCATAAAAATCAAGAGATGCATTAAAGTTTGAGACTTCTCAGTCTGAAACAGCAATCCTCTTACTGATCCTGTCTTTTATACTGGGTGTATCATATGATACTATAGGTATATCTTTATTAGTTTATATCCTGAAGAAAGATGTAATTTCCTCAACCAGATTCTATATCTATATGTAATCTATTTAGCCTTCATCCCAAATGGGCAGCAATAAAACAAAGGTTAGTGATGTTTGAGAAAAAAAAGGGTAAGGATTCCCAGAGTGATCCAATGTCTAAGGTGATACAATTATAAGGCATTATGCCACTCTCCATAAGTTTCTAAATACATGTATCCCAATACATAGTATCATTACCTGTATAGTAATTAATAATAATATGTCACTTACAGCACGTCTAGATTGAGAAACTGAGATAAAACACTTTTAGGAAATGATAGTTACACTCTTAAAATGTGTAGACCATATATGAAAACCAGTCTCATAATTACATATAACTAATACTTACTGAGAACTTACTAAATTCACTCATTATTATATTCATTCATTTACTTATTATTTTATAGATAAGAAAACAGATTTAAAGAGGTTCAAGACTTACTATCCCGTAATAATGACTAGGACTTATTCAAGTCTGTTTCACTCTAAGTATGTGACTTTAACAACCCAGTAATTTTTTTATAGAAACAGATTTTAATTCAGAGAATACAGACTTTACTGTCAATATAGGGCCACATTTAAATACCAGGATGTTTAATACAAAGTAATGAAACAATTTCATTTTGGTTTTTACATATAAGCAATATCTAACCCTAGCTGTTATCTTTTAGCAAAATGGGTTATTTCTTTCCCAAAGGCATTGCTGAAAGCCACATTCATTAACCAATTCTTTCACTGATGACTTCACCACTACCCTAAGTGGGAAAATGAGACTGTGAGACAGAGACCACTTCTTATTCCCATCATTTCTCTCAATCATACTACCTACCCAAACAGAGCATCCAAATAGGTGCAATCCTGCAGATCCAAGTTACCCAATATAAATCTGCCCCTTAATTTTCTCAATCTCTTCAGTGGTGGGATTCTTCTGCTTAATAACACCATACCAATTAGCTTACAAGAGGGAAAGAAAAATCCTTCCATTCTTTAAACACTATTATACAATAAATCATATCTGACCCTTCTTAAGTCCTTCTAGCACAGTATTGCTAGCATTTTAAGTACGCATCTCTACAGAACGTAAATTCGTTGCTGCATACTCAGACCTTAGCGCACACAGTTTAGTTTCTTGAATGTGTGGGAGTTGTGGTTATTTGGTAACTGTCATGTTGTATCATCATGTTCCAAAGAGCATATACCTCCTATGAAATTAAGGTATGTTATAATACAGGGCCACCCTTAACTCCAGAAATGTTTAATAAAATTCACTAAAACAATTTCATTTAAATTATTTTAGTTTTTTAAAAAATAAGTATAGGGCTTCCCTGGTGGCGCAGTGGTTGAGAGTCCGCCTGCTGATGCAGGGGATGCGGGTTCGTGCCCCAGTCCGGGAAGATCCCGCGTGCCGCAGAGCGGCTAGGCCCATGAGTCATGGCTGCTGAGCCTGCGCGTTCGGAGCCTGTGCTCTGCAACGGGAGAGGCCACAACAGTGAGAGGCCCGCGTACCACAAAAAAAAAAAAAAAAAAAAACTAAAAAGTAAGTATACTAGTGTCAAAAGGAATCCTTAATTCAGTACCTTCCTTGAAACTACTCCAGTGAAAGAGGCCTAAGAGGTATGTAGTAGGTGAGAAAAAAAAAGGGATCATAAATAAAAGTTACTGGTTTCAATTAATGCTCTTTGACTGCGATGGAAAGAAAACCGCAGGGTGGGAAAAGATTCAAGGATAGAATAAAATGTAACAGATACAAATCACATCTGAACAGAGAAAATATTTAACTAAATTGAGAGTTCCAACATGCAGATATTTAATACAGGCCTGCTTTTTACTCATGTGAAGTTATATCAGAAATACTAAAATAGGCAACTTACATATCTTATTTGAGTATTTGGAAGTTTAATGCCCAAGGATTAAACACTCCAACTGACTCTCACGCAATTTTATAAATAAATATACACTATTCTTTCATGGATAATGTCACAATTAACATACATTTGATGGCACTAGCATCTAAAACCTAAGACACTATACTCCTTCCTATACTGTTGGCTTTTAGCATTCTGCTAGATCACTTCTAAAGTAGAGAAAGCCAAATGCAGGTAGAAAAAGACCTACGAAAATAGACCATACTCACAACAGTCTTATACACTGTAGTAGAACCAGAACCTAACGCTTCTGCTGAAGGAGTGAAACAAGTGCAGAAAATGCACACAATGTAGAATCAACACTAGAAAATTTATAACTATAACAGGAGTGGCAAACAAAAACACAGATTACACCCAAATGATAAGCATCTTTTACCTGGATCTGGAGGGGCCTGTTGCTGCCAATGTGGATACGCATTTCCCCACCCCTGGGGAGCATAAGGGGCTGGAGGACCACTGAAAACACAGAAATCAATTTTAAAATAGCTTCCCAAAATCTAGAATCTTTGAGGAAAAGCCTAGAACCAAACTCAAAACTTACTGAGGAGCAGGGCCAGGTGGTCCCGGATTATAAGGTGCAGGGTTATATGGTCCCATCGGAGTTCCAGGCCCAGGGGGCCCAGGAGGCCCATGGGGGCCTGGGACACCATGGGGCCCATGGGGTACAGGTGGCCCTAAAGGATTTACTGGGCCCTGCAAAAAAAGCAAAAGACAAACAAAAATCAGAAAGACAGTAATGGTTAAACATTTCAAAGGCCAAATAACCTTCCATTTCTACCCTCTTACCTAACCACAAGCAATCTAAAATTTATGATTTTCCTTCATCTCCTCACTCATGTTGCAAAACTTCTGAACTCTACCATATTAATGAGGCATGTAAAATTAATTAAAATCAACAGCATTAGCAAAGAACTGAAACATTAACTTTACCTTCTATTCTTTTCAGGCTATTCCCTTTTCCATTATTTCCCTTTCCTTGTACAATTTTTACTTTTACTAGCCCTTTATCATCTTAATCATGGAAGCTTATCAAATATCAAGTTCTTACCTCTAGCTCTTCTCTCTCTGCATCTACTCTACATCTATTCACTTAACATTGTAATCAGAGAACCATGCTGACAATACAGTCCTCAAATTGCTTAGGTCTCATATTGTGAACTGGCTATTGAATACTTCCCCAATAATGTAATAAGTTCTCACTCAACAAACCAGTCCTTCTCACAGCCTTCCTGTCACTGAGCCCCATTTCAATCAATAATTTAATTCATTTCCTCCCTTACCCTTTTTATCATAATTTTCTGAATACCATGAAGATTCCCTTTTTAATTGATTTAACAAATCAGGATATTTCGTATCCATTTCATGCCACATCATAATTAATAATGCTTAGTTGATTCTTCTTTGATAATCCAACTTGTAAGGACCACTAGATTTAACTGTTCTAAAATAAAATATTCCTTTCATGCAGTTAATACTCACCATGTGACAATTTGGACAAAAATGCTTAATCTATATATGGTTGTCCATTTTCTCACTGCAATAAAGCCAAACTTCAAGACTTTCATAATAACTTGTCTCTTTAAGTCTCTAACTGCTGTCATTATCCCTCACTTCAATTATACATAACCTTTCCTTTGCAAATAGTAAAAAAAAAAAAAGGATTATTGAAAAAAGGTAGCAACATTTTTACAGGGCTTTGTGCTAGGCACTCTTTTAAGGGATAAACACACATACTTCAAACATTTAATCTCTATAACCCTAAAAGGTAGGTAGGATTATCCTCACTTTCAGATGAAAAAGAGGCAAAGAGTGTAATTATCTTCCCCCAAGGTCACACAGTCAGTAAATGATTCAGAGTATTTTGAACCCAAATAGCCTGACTCAAGAGTCCAAGTTCTTCTTAAGAGCTTCTCTTGAACAACCTATCTAGTCTGCCCATCAATCCAGAAGCAATGCTGATGATAGCAAAATCCAAAACCAAGATGCACTATTCATTTTTCTGGCATCAATTCCTGCCATTACTGAGTCCAACAATTATCTTCTTCATTTTTTTGAACAATTATACTTATTCTCCATACCACAGAACTTATGTTTGTGTATATTTTTATAAGGTATTCTTTTTTTTTTTAATAAATCTATCTATCCTACCTACCTACCTACCTACCTACCTATCTTGGTTGTGTTGGGTCTTCGTTGCTACATGAGGGCTTTCTCTAGCTGCTGTGAGCGGGGGGTACTCTTTGTTGCAGTGCACAGGCTCCTCATCGCGGTGGTTTCTCTTGTTGCGGAGCATGGGCTCTGGGCGTACGGGCTTCAGTAGTTGTGGCATGTGGGCTCAATGGTTATGGCTCACGGGCTCTGGAGAGCAGACTCAGTAGTTGTGGCACACGGGCTTAGGTGCTCCACGGCATGTGGGATCCTCCCGGACCAGGGATCAAACCCGTGTCCCCTGCATTGGCAGGTGGATTCTTAACCACTGCGCCACCAGGGAAGTCCCCATAGGGTATTCTGAAGTGTCTTTTGTACATCTATTTTTGTTTTCCCAAGCAGAGAGAAACACCCCATTCACAGCATGGCAAACATCAAGAAGAACTTTCCTAAGATACTCTAATTATTATTAACAATTTAAGATGCTCGTTCACGTTAATTCTTCATAGTAAGATAAACACAGTAAAGCACTATTTCCTCACTATTTCCAAATCTGACCATGCATCAGAATCACCTGGAACATCCTTCTAAAATTAGATGCTGGGTCCTACTGCAGACATTCTGAATCAGAACTGTGTACATTATATGTGTCAAGGTGTAAAGCACCCAAGCGGTCGACATTTTAAAACTCCCCAGACGACTGTCAGCCAGTCTAAGAATTAGGATTTATAGATTTCTACTTTACTGAGGGGGCAGGCATCTGATTCACCTTTACTTCACCAAAGTTGGGTAAGCAAGCCCTTAATAAATAGTGACTTCCTGTTAACTGCCTCCTTCAGGTATATTCCGCAATCTTCCACCAACCCTAATACCATAACTCAAGTAATGCTATCCTCTTATTTACCCACCCTCAAGTACAATGTTCTGAACACCTGTAACTGTGTATTAACTGGGTTATTTTCATCGCTGAAAAATCTCTTCTATATTTTACGTTTCTATTACGTGACCAGACCTATAATTTTAGAGTAGAAATTAACATTTTTCTGTACAGCACTTATAGGAACATATGAATTAATGTCTTATTTAACTAACAGGATCTGTGCTATCAATTGGATGCTTAAAGCATACTCACACCAATCTTTTCTTCTATGAGTTGTCGAGCATAGTCTATTTGCTGTGGAGTGCCACGAATTGTAAATAACTTCATATTAGGATCTGCATTAGGGGGAGGATTTCTCTGAAGTTCTATTCTTGCACCAGACTGTTGGCTTATGCTTTTTATGGTTTCACCTCCTAAAATCAAAGCACAGTAATTTCTCTAAAGATTCAAAGGATATAGAGGAGCTATTCAAAACAAACTGGTCACAATTAAGAAGGAAGGTATGAACAGTATCCCATTTGCCAATATTCTACTAGAAGTTTCCATTTATTCTACACTTTAAGTCAAATTATATGAAGCATTTCACACATTTAAGTTTTAAGACATAACTTAGTATGTCTGCACCCAACCTTAAAATGAATTATATCAAAATAATTGCTTCAAAGAAATTGCTTTTCTAAGCAATTTAATATAAACTAACACAATGATTTAAAAATTCAAAAATTTAAAAACATGTCAGGAAACAGCAAAATAAACAAAAACACTAACCACTTTCTAGGTCAGAAGAAAAATTTCTTACACTAATAATTATACTGTTGGTTCCCTTCTCTAGAAGCCAATGTGATTCAAATCCCACTCTTGACTTAAGTACATATAAAGCCCTTCATTTAGGTTTTAGGTGTTACTATCAGCGTTAAGAACACTTTTCTACTAAAACACAGCCCCCCAAAAATTATTGCTACTCATTTACAACGGCAACAGAAATAGCATCCAGAACCGTTAAATTATTAACCACCCATTAATAGTTTTAAATACATTGCCTTTTCCTATTATTAATCCAGTTTTCCCAGTTGGTACAATGAAATTAAATTCCTGTAGTCCACCAGGTGGTCCCATGTTCCAGTTGCCTTGACCTCTACCCCTTCCTCGACCACCAGGTCCAGGTCCACCAGGATTACCAGCCTAAAAGAGGGGAAAGACAAAGTCAGAAATATGCTCTTCTTTCCACAGTAAAATTATTACACATCTATTTCCCTTAACTTTCATTTTCCTAAATGAGAAGTTTAGAGAAGCTGGGACACACCTTGGCCCAAATAATCAAGAAATGACCACCACCATTTATTCCTTTTATGCCGTGGTGAATAAAGCAGTGCACTTATATGTAGCTGCCGTCCTGCTCCAAAATGTTCACCTTAAAGCAATTTAAACTTTCTAGCTATTAATAAAGTATCACCAAACAGATTCTGATAAAAATAATATGGAGGGGGACTTTCACATTTAATGAAGGAAAGTATTTTAAAAATGAAAACAAAACAAAACAATGAAAATTTAACATTCTATCAAACCTGAACACTTCGAAGAAGGTCTGTAATAATTTCTGCAGCATGTTGACATCGGTCTGGAGGTCCTGTTATTTGTGCTATTCTATCTGGTGTCGTTCCATCATCTTTAAACAAAGGAAACAAATTGGATTAATTTAGCATTAAATTAATTAGTGTCAAAAGTAACTGCCACCAACATTTAGAAAATAAATATATGTACTCACCTGGCTTAAACTGAATTCGAACACCAGCATCATTTTGTATTTTTTTAATCATCTCTCCATTTCTTCCTATTACGATGCCAACAGCAAATCTTGGAATGGGGACCTTACGCAGAGAAGACCAAGCATTAGGAAAGCCATTTCCTGAAAAATTAATCTGTCCCAAACCATAGAAGTACTATATTTATATCAAAGAGGTTGGCAAGATACAAAGTACACATTATGTATTCTCAGGTAGAAAGGGGGGCGGGGAAAGACAGTATAATGTTAGAGAAGACTATGTAAAACAAAACAGGAAAAACCTTATTTTATTTATGGACTAGCATTCAACCACTTCTAAATTGGTATTTTTACTTACATCTATTCCTTCATTTCCTCCTATTCTTGACCCATACTCATTTCGAACTTCTCTGAAACCACCTTGATCACGAATTAATTCTAACACCATTTCCTTGGCTTGCTGAAGTAGAAAAAATTACCCAATTTAGGAATCGTGTCTCAAAACACTGTAATTATTCATGCATGTGTTCCCCCTCTGCCATCCACCCCAAATCCCTCTTTGTAAAATATAAACTTAAGTTTACTTGAACTTTGTATGGGTCCCCTGTAATCCTAAGAGGTTTGTCAGCACCAGTGTTCTGAGGTCCATCTTGGATCATAACCATTTTAACTCCAGCCCGTTCCTGTTAATCACAGAAATCAGATGTATTAAAAAGAGGGGAGAGGAAGGAAACGGGCTTCAAAACAGACAAAAAGTAATCATTTTATAAACATAGTAATACCTGAAGTTGTTTAATAGTCTCTCCCCCCTTTCCAATGACTAATCCTGCTTTGCTAGCTGGAATCATGATTTCTTGAACCGCATTTCCTGGCCCATCACCATGATGGAAGCCGGGGGCTGGTCTTCCTTTTTCAACAATCTGGTCCAGTAACCGTTTTGCTGATCTGTTAACAAATTAATAGCCAATACAAAATAAGATCATCAGGTACTCCTCCCATCCCAATTCAGGATAAGGTGGCCTAAAACTAAATTTTAACAATTAAAAGAAAATGCCATGAGTGTCAAAGACTGAAACCACACAATAAATTTTCTAGGTATCAACATATAATCAATATTTTTGAGAATAGCCCAAAATTTCCAAGACACACCCTACTTCTAAAGTTACCTCAGAATAAAGCTCATTCTTCCAAAAATTAAACAATGTGTTTACTTTTTAAACCTTTACTTTGGTTACTCACATGTTAAAATTTATTTGTTCATTCAACAAATACTTAAGAAATGTCAACTATATGCCAGGTACTATTCTAGGTAGTGGGGTTACAGCAATGAAATAAAAAGACAAGGTCCTTGCTGGCATGGCTTAACTTCATTAAATAAGTAAAAATAGCAGGTTAAAGAAACAACATGTCATTTGTGAAGTGCTATAAAGAAAACCAAAACAAGATGAGGACAGGTTGCGTGTATGTATGTGAAGGGATGCTATTTTATGCAAAATAGATGAATGAACAATTCCCTGGCGGTCCAGTGGTTAAGACTCTGCGCTTCCACTGAAGCAGGCTCAAGTTTGATCCCTGGTATGGGAACTAAGATCCCAGAAGCCGCACAGCAGGGCCAAAAAAAAAGAAAAATGAATGACCTTACTGATAAGGAGACATGTGAACCAAGACCTGAAGGAAGTAGAGGAGTGACTATGAAAATATCTGGGGAAAAATGTTCCAGGGAGAAGAAAACAGAAAAGTGCAAAGGACTCTAATGAGAAGCACACTTGGTGTGCTGAAAAAATAGAAAAGAGGCTAAATGGGGCTAGAACAGAGTTGAGTTGGGAGAAGAATGGTAAAATATGAAGTGAGAAAGGTGGCAGGTAAGCCAAGACATAATAAAGACACTGACTTCTACTCTAAATGGGAAAGCATTAGAGGATTTTTGAGCCAAGTAGTGATATGAATTGATTTATATTTTAAAAGGATCAGTATGGCTATACTATAATTAGACAAGGCTAAAAAGAATGGAGACACATTGTGGTAATATAGGCAAATGGTGTCATAGATAAGGTGATAGTATAGAAGGTGGCAAGAGGAGGCTGAATTCCAAATAACTGGGAAGGAAAAAATGCTTATGGATAAATGAGACTTTAGAGAAAGATAAAGTATTAAAACAGAGTTTTCATACACTGAAATGAGATGAACTAGATTGAGTAAAAGAAAAAGCATGGGCTGGAAAACAATGATTCTGTTTTTAACAATTTGAAGTTTAACATTTAAAGATGTCTAGTAGACATTCAACTTGACAGTATACTAAGGAAGCAGCTGGATATGAATCTGGAATTTAGGGAAAGAAATCAAGGCTGAAGATTCAAGCAGAGCTACCACCTTTTATGAGTTTTTTTGTAAAAGAGAGCAGAGAATTAGAAATGTGGGGTTTAGGGATGGTTTTCTGTTTAGAGGGATTTTCAAGCATGTTTATATGCTGTTAGAAATTTCCTAAAACAGGGGAAAAAAGAATAGCGCAGGAGAAAGTCAGTTCAATTGCAGGGACAATATCCTTCAGTAGGAAGGAAGGGCTGGAACATGATTTTCGTACTTACTGGACAGACTCAGGGGTTCCAGTTAACATACAAGACCTTTCTGGAAGGCCACCACTGTCTACAATTAAAAAGAAACAAAAATCTTAGGCCAAGAAAATGTTAACAGCATCGTTTTCACTAGCAACTTTAAAAATGCTAGTTTTCTTGTCACTTTGAAAATAATAGCAAGAGAATAACATTACCAGGAGCTATCTGTATTTTGCATCCAGATTCCTGTTGTATGCGTGAGATCTGTTCACCTCCTCTGCCAATTACTAGTAAGAAAAAAGAAAATTATTTGCTGAAAGATTTTAAAGTATGTTTTGATTATGTTTTTTCATAGCTTTAAAAAATTAGATTACTTACTAAATCCAACCATCCCATCTGGAACTTTGTATTCTTCTGTCATTACAGACCTGCTAAGAAATAACAGAAACCAACATTTTCCTTCAAAGAAAGATAGATAATTTGTTTATAAATAAAAGGTAAACATAAAAATGGAAATCTAATGGCTCCTAATAGCTTAAACTAGATTTCTAGGCACATACTTAAAATACTCAAAGTCAAAATATGGGGCCTGGAATAGTTAAACCCAGTATCTTAATTAAGGTCATACACATCAAGTGAGGAAGGTATGGTGGATGGAACAGTCTGAAGGCACGAACAAAAAGGAGTTGGGGTGCAGTTCAGGAGATATCATTTTAACAGTTATTTTAATTCAGCTTAGTTCTTCTAAAGTGTGGCTAATTCCACCCATCCTTTGAAATTACAAACGTATCTCACTCAAGAAAACAGATCATTTGCTATCACCTAACTGAGTCAAGGGAAATGAGCTATATATACCAAAAAAAGAAAAGGCAGACACATATTCACTATATACTAACTTGGCTGTGTTTCACATACAGTTCAACTAAAACTTACAAAGTGCTCTTTGAAAAGCTTTTATTTGACTATACCTTTGCTGCTGATGCATCGGTGGTAACTGTGTTCCGAAAGCTACCAAAAAATTAAATAAAGTGAGAATTTAATTTAATTGACATATATTTAACAATATAATCATTTTAAGCAATTCTAAAATCTTTCCCTGACACACAGACAACACCCTGAAGAGCACAAAATTTTATGCAGAATACTTAACACTGAGAGTGGGCAAGAAACTCAGTGAAATGGCAGACATTACTGGCAATAGCATAGAAGAAAAACTGTCCTTTTGCAAGCAGCATAAGCAAAGATTAAGAAATGGAGCTATAACCCCTATGTTCATAGCACCACTATTCACAATAGCCAAGACATGGAAATAACCTAAATGTCCACTGACAGATGAATGGATAAAGAAGATGTGGTACGTATATACAATGGAATACTACTCAGCCATTAAAAAGAATGAAATAATGACATTTGCAACAACATGGATCCAACTAGATATCCATACTAAGTCAGAAAGAGAAAGACAAATATATGATGTCACTTATATGCGGAATCTAAAATTTGACACAAATGATTCTACCTACGGAACAGAAACAGACTAGTGGACAGAGAACAGACTTATGGTGGTGGGGGGTGGTGCTGGGCTGGGGGAGGGATGGAGTGGGAGGTTGGGGTTAGCAGATGTAAGCTAATATGCACAGAATGGATAAACAATGAGTTCTTACTACGTAGCACAAAGAACTACATTCAATATCCAATGATAAACCATAATGAAATATATAACAACTGTACTTCAAAAACAGAGCTATAAAATAAATTGAACATGTAAAATGACTTAGCAACTAAATCTTAAATTATATTGATACATGGCCGAAATTGAACTGGGAGATAGGAGGTATATTTTTACAAATAAATTCATACAAGAAGATAATTTATGGCCTTCAACTAACTTCAAAGATACCCAACAAAACATAGGAACAAAGCCCTAATATTAAAATCCACAGTTACTTTAACTTTTAACCCAAGTTAAAATAAATACTTACAGTCATTTTGAGGAGCAACTTTCTTAGCATCTGGCTGATCTGTAAAATTAAGAGTCTTTTAATTTTTTGCCAGTAAGTACAAACATAAGACTTAGCTCCCCCATGCCCAATCAAGAATACCAATATAAACATTTACTGAAATAGCTGAGGGTATGGTTTATCATTTGAACCAAAACTGCCAAAACTCAACCCAAACACTTAGTGATTGAAAGAAAACAGCATTTCTTTCATTCTCTTCATGTTTAAAAGATGCACAGACATTAAAAAAAGTTCTTTTTTACGAAATCAAATCACTGACCTTAATGTATGTTAAGCACTTTAGAATGATACAAGACAAAGTATTTAGTCCGTTACTTAGCAAAACATCACATGCTAAAGTCTAATGATGCTTCCCACTGTAGGAACTGAAGATTGGAAGGAAAAAAACCTATCAAAATGTGAAAATTTGACATATCAAAAGTTGAGTGTATCTGACAGTGAACACAAAGCTATGCAAAATAAGTAAAAAGTCACATTGCAAGGCAATCTCAATCTGAACTGTTCTACTGTTCCTAACCAAACATTTCACAGCATAAACTTCAAAAGAAACTCAAACAACTACATGACTTCATCTTTATCTACATCCTTTACACACATGAATACAATGCGTACCTTAGAATAGACAACCTACAGCTCAAAGTACTACATTCTCCTCCCCCCTTCAAACTTAAATGATTAAACATCAGAATGTTGTGCAACAAAAATTCAGACACATAATCCAAGAAATATTTGTGTCCATTTAAGAATCCACTGGTTTATTTCACGTTTACATACTGAACACAGGTAATAAATAAAAATTCCTGCCTTTAAAAGGAGAGGGCATTCCCTCCCAGTGTGTTGTACTGCTCGGACTTGTCCAAGAGCCATCTACACATAAAATAAAAAGAATACATTACATACAACATCTGAAGCATCATTAGCTCATTTTTTTTGTATATTAAAACCTCACTATAAATGTGAAAGACACTTAAATAAAAGGAAACCAAGCACTCCTGGTCAAAAGCTACAAATACATTCTATACGCTCATTCAGAATCCTCCTTTTAAAAAAAAAAGGGCAAAAAGAAAAGGTATCAAAATTCATACATCAAATCTAAAACAAAAAAATATGTGCAGACTTCTACGTTCAGAAGGTTCAACAATTATGTTTTTAAAAAATACAAGGCACTGTTTATCTACTGTTTTAAGCCACATTTTGAGTTAAACCTGAAACACAAAACAAGGTACTAAAACAAACAAAAAATGGTATAACCTGCAACACAACTAAAGTAGCAAACTATAACAACTTCAACCTTTAAAGTGAAATGTGAAATAACAAAGTAATGAGAATACAGCATCTCAGATTAATTCATGTATGATGAGAAAAACCCATGAAATGTTTCCTAAACATTTTGTATTTTTGTTTTCTTCAGTATATTAACAAGTCGTCTGTGCAAACTATCAATCTGGCACAATCCTAAAAGAGGGAAAATGATGTTCTCTAGTAAGACAAAACTGGCTGGTTAACTCAAATTTTACCTACCTTGTCTAGGTCTCTTTTCCCCCCTCTCCTTTTGAGTCCAATATAACCCTTACAATTTTAGGAACCTTATGATAAAAGCAATGTTTCAAAAAAAGAACATCTGAAAAATACTGAAAATCACTTCAACTAAACTCTGTGTAAAACAATTTAAAATATTTATGGCTATAACTTACCTCCATCTTCCAAAGGTCTTTTCTGTCCCCCATAACCATAGTCATTTGAATTCAGTGATGTACCAGCATCACCTCCAATTTTTGCTGCAATCTTAAAAAACAAAAAACACACCGTCATTAAGGATAGCATCATAACTACATTATTTCCTAATATATGCTAAATATCTATCACATAAGAAAATTAATTTGATAGACAAATTAAAATTACAGTTCAATTTATTACTATCATTAATAACTTCAGAGTTAACAAATAATCATCATCTGGAATTGCTGCTGATATATCTCTATAAGAACAAAGAAATAATCAATTAAGAATCTTTAGAAGACTGACCAAATAACTTTGAGGAAAATATGGATCCTAATTCTATCTTCTCCATGTCTCTCTCCCATGACTCTCTCTATGTTGGTATAGGGAGAACGTGAACATGCTAAGGCTGTGCTGTCCAATAAGGTAAAATGCTAGCCACATTTGGTTACTGAGTATTTCATATGTCTAGTCCAAATTGAGATGTACTTCAAGTGTAAATGCACACCAGATAGCGAAACCTTACAACAAATATAAAGAATGTAAAGCATCTCAAAAATTTTTATATTGAACACGTTAAAATGGTAATATTTTAGATATGCTGGGTTAAACAAAACATGTAACTTGCATTATACTTCTATTGGACAATCTTTTTCTAAGGGAACAAGGAGGTGTGGAGGAAGCCTGGGAAGTTGTACATCTAAGGAAGTCTCTGTTATAGAACCACAACTCATTTCATTGTTAGAGACTTAACTTTTAGAGTGGGGTAAACATCGTATAAGAAACACCAGCCTCGGGCTTCCCTGGTGGCGCAGGGGTTGAGAGTCCGCCTGCCGTTACAGGGGACACGGGTTCGTGCCCCGGTCCGGGAAGATCCCACATGCCGCGGAGCGGCTAGGCCAGTGAGCCATGGCCGCTGGGCCTGCGTGTCCGGAGCCTGTGCTCCGCAACAGGAGAGGCCACAACAGTAAGAGGCCCGCGTACCACAAAAAAAAGAGAAAGAAACACCAGCCTCAAGTCATAAGTGGGGCACAACCAGGGGTTATTTACTGCATTTTTCTATGAAAAGGGAAATGGAACTAAAATTGCTGAGTGCCAGCAAAAGGCCAAATTCTGTACTATAATAAATGCTTTATACTCATTTTGTCACTGAATCATCACAACAATTCTATGAGGTAGAGTACTTAGTGAGATAGATATCCATTTTACAATTGAAAAAAATCTCAAGAGGTAACTTAACCAATGTTACATAGTAAGTCAATGGTAGAGAAGTCCCAATTTCTACACACCTCCTTGGCAGTTACTACAAGTGGTAATCACCAAAGATGGGTGATGGGCTCATTAAAGTTCACCAAGTTATTCTTTTCAATTCTGAGTATGCATGAAATTATCCATGATAAAAATTAACAGAAAATGAAACTTTTGGTGACTGGAATTCTTCTAGAAAGGTGTTGATGTGGAACTAAACCAAGTGCCTCAAGCTTCATTATAATTAGAAAACTGGAAAGGATAAGGGTATTCAACGACTTGAATCCAATATGTATCACGTAAGTCCTAAACATGTATCAGTTCCCATATACCAAATGTATTTCCTAGGATTCATAGGTTTCCCTTTTTCTCATCTGTAAATGCAAACACCCACCACAAAGCATATTAGGATTAAATATAAAAATGCTCAACAAGAAAGGTATACAATTATATATTTTCTGACTTTATAGCTTTGGTCACTCTAACCTATCTTAATCATCTTTCACTTTCTCAAAAGCTTATTCGAATCTTTGATCTTATTAAAATCTTACTTCTTTCCTGAAAGTTTTCCTCATCACACCTGAGAACTGCCTTTCCACCCTTCAGTTTTAAAGCAATCAGCATTTGAATTGCTCCTTAGGAAATTTAACATACTGCTAGGCATTGAAGTTATGAGGAAAATATTTCTGGTCCAAGGAAAGAGTTAATACTAATGAAAGAAAATGGTTTAGGCTGGTAATACCTTCTGCAGTTAGTTAGCTTTTATAAACACTGAGTTTGCAAAGCAGCACTCCTTGAACTCCAAGGAACTTCTGCACAGAAAAAGGATATTTATTTATACCTCCCTATCCACTGAATAGTTCTAAAAATATCCAACTGAAAATAAAATTGATCTTTAGTTCACTCAGAAGAACCAGTTAACACCATCTCAAAAATTCAGAACCAATACAAAAACATTAGAGAAGAACTTTTAGAAAAAATACTAACACAGATTTAATCAATTCTCCAAGATCAACAGAAAACATACACTTCCTAGGTCACTGCACAGAATTTAAGAGAAACAGTAATTCCTAAAATCCAATCTCTAACTATATAAAATTCTTATGAGACTAGTAGAATTAAGTGTAGGTAACTTCTTTGATTTACAATTTACAGTAAAAAGTCAAGCTTTCCATTTGGACCCTGCCTACTTCTCAAATGAGTAAATATTTTTTGTGCTTTCAATGTTTTAGCATTTTCCACCTTTCTTCATCAATTATTCCTAGAATCCAAGAATTTTGGAGTTGAAAGGAAATTTGAGATTATTCAGTCATACCACCTGATTTTAGAGATTAAAACGACAAGAACAAAACCACAAACAACAACACACAAAAAGCTGATTTTCAGAAGTAATTACCTAAATGCCCAAAATGACTATCTCCTAATTTTCAGTCTACATGCTTCCTTAGGCTTTGGGGTCCAACCGTGATTTGGGGTCAGTGGTAATTCTGGTTTTACTGCTTTGTGTCCTTGCCAAATTTTCTTAAGCATTTTGTGCCTCATTCATCTTCTGTGTACAAAAGAGATAAATAGTTTCTACACTTACCCTGTAGAATAGTTGTGAGAATTAAATGAATTAATATAAATATGCTTAGCACAGAGCCTAATATGTAGCATATAAATTGCCAGTTACTATGAACAAATCAGCACACTTTAATTCAACTATAAAGCAGGTTCACAAGACTTCAAATATTCAATTTAAAAAATTTAACAAGTTTTTATTTGTACTGGCCAAAGATATACACTTTGAAAGAACATAATTATTTTCAGAACAAAATTTCATTACTGCTTTAATTCATTAAAGATATCTGTTGATTCAATTCAATAAATAATGAGTACCTACTATGGGCAAGGTCCTAATGGATTCAATTCCTATGCACCAGAAATGTGAAGAGGCTAGAAATATTACTAGCCCACCACTTTATTAGCATTGTCCCCTCTTTACAGCCCAGAAATCTTTGCTTATTATCACAATCAAGCTTTGCTATTCCATCTCAGAATGTGTTAAAAAAACAAAAACAACCAAACAACCCCCCCACCCCGCACACACTCAAATGCTAGTTTTCACTGAAGATTAATGCTAAGTAAAAAGTCAACAGTCCTATTTTATAAATTTTTCATTGCATTCAAACATAATACAGTCTGAATTACTTTCACAATTATCAAGAAAGAGATTTCAAGAACTGAGTACTTAACTAATTTAATGGTTGTTTAGAGGGAAAGTGATGAGGATTGATATTCTTGCATAACCTGTGATCTACCACTATACTTAAGTCTCATTCTCTGATTCACTTCTATCTTCATATAACCTTAAGGGGAAAAAAGTAGATAGATATATCTCAATTTTCCAGTGTTTCAAAGACAGAACTTGTTATCAGTGTGATCACTAAAGATCTAATCGAAGAATTTCAACATCACCCTCTGCAGTTACAGTTTGAAATACCCAAATATAAATTTCTAAAGTAGACAGGTTGGAAACCTAAACTAGAGAAGCAGTCTGGTGCCCCTGTGCTAGATTTAGCTCACAGAATATTATAAAAATCTGGAAATTTCACATTAAAAAAATTAGCTATTAGAATTCTCTGGAAAAAAGACTGAGCAACTCAGCCTCAATTGCCTCACGGCAACAATCAGCTAGAGTAAATGCTACTAGCATTTACTAGATAGGGACCAGGGATTCCCTAACATTTGTTCCGCTTTCCTGCACAACAAAGAACTATCCAGCTGAAATGCCAATAGCTTCCCAAGCAGTATGCAGCTCTTTGAAGGCAAGAAGCGTTCTTATACCTCTTCCTTCCAAAGAACACAGCACAATACTCTAGACAAAGAAAAGAAACTTAAGGTTAGATGGAGATTTTGGAAATATAATTCAGTATCCATTTAATATAGATAAGGAAAAAAGTACTTCAGGGATTAACCTAATTTGTCCCTTCAGCCCAAGCACTCTTCCCTATACTCCACTTACATAATCAGACAAGCAGCTCTACAACCAATATACCGAAGCATTCTCAAATGTAACCAGAAGGGGCAATTCAACTCAAATGCTAAATATGAGAATCTCAGATTTAAGATCAATTTTGTAGAAACAGTCAAATTACAGCAAAGACACTTGTAAATTTTATTACAGAAAGGGCACTGGGGCAGCTATTGGCATATAAACAGAGGACAAGAAATTCATAGTTTGAGGACATTTTCTATATTTAAAAAAGCAGTCTAAATAAGAAAATTGTCTTCAGAAGTTGTATCCACCTGTACCTTTTCTCACCTCATTTTCCACCCTCCTTCCCCCATCCAACCCTATCCTCCAGTGACTTCACTCTTAGGTTCTTGTCATCCCCAAAACCCCCATACCTTTGCACTTGCTGCTTCTTTCTCCACTGGTCAAACTCTCACTCATTCTTTAATGCCTTGCTTAAAGTATCAGTCCTTTACTTTGGCAGTTAGGTACCCCAATCCCTGGTGTTATGTACAGTACCTGATTCATAGAACTCTAAAGTGTTTATAGAACAAATGGATGAATTAACAGTGCCCATATTTTGTCTACTGTTTGAAAGCGTTAATCAGATACTTCTATTCTTTTGTCTTTGGTTCCTTGACCATCATAGCTTCCTAGAAGGCAGAAACCCAATTAACACATTTAAAAAGTCTCCAGTATTTATGTACAGTGTGTCATAAATTAATTCAATATGCTGGTTGAATAAAATAATTCAGGTGAGTCTTCCAATCCAATCTAATAAAACCCTTCTAACAGAGTTCCTGACATTATATAAACGTTTCAGTCACTATTCTAAACATGTTCAGAAATAGTAAATAAGAATTAGGTGAATAAATCGCAAAATTAGGGTTAATGATGACCTTCTCTAGACTCCTTGGAAAATTTCTGATTAAAAACAGGTACAGGTACATTTTTATTTATAATGTGTTCACATTATAAAAATATGAGCGCTTTGCTACATCACTACAGATTTTACGGATTTTGACTCAAATGATCCTTTAATCCAACCGGGGGGTGAAAAATAAGTTAACGAAGTGAACTCCTAATGTAATGAAAACATACCACAAAATTGGATTCTGATTACCATGAGCTTAACACTGTACTCTAAAAATGTCTAACATCTAACACACGCATCGTGTCATAACGAGAATATAAGATTCTTACCTTTACTTAGACACAAGTCCATACCAACATCACACGTTTTAAAATTACATTAAGGGGCTATCTAATAAAGTTCAAATAAAATCCTGGAATTTAACTTTTTTTTTTTTTTTTTTAACAGCTTTTGTTTGGGAAAGTGGTGCCTTCAGGGCAAATGTACGCACCTACGTAATACAAAGAGGTCTGGTCAGTTTACGACTCTGAACTGAGAGGCAGATTCAAATTGAAACTTAGGGTATAATGGCCCTGAAGCCATTTTGAGAAGTAAGAGGGAAGGAACCGTAGAACACGCATAAATCCCGCCCTGAAGAGGGATTCCAACGCGGAATACGAGTGCTCCCCTCTAATTTTCTTCCTTGAAGGTGTGAAAGTGTATGGTACCGAAAGATTAATTGCGGGAGAGCTCGAACGGGTTGGAAGCTCTAAAGACTGCTTTAATGACAGATCCCTTCCCTTACCATGGCTCCTGCGGACAGACCCTAGTCCTTTCCCAAACTCATTACTAGAAGCTTCCATACTATTGTGTAAAACTACGCGCGCTTTACCCCATGGAAGAGGATGTTCACTCCGAGGAAAAGGAAATGCTAACACCTTGGAGAAAAAAGCGCGAGTACCGCAGAAACAGGAGAAAAAAATCTAAAGCCATCTTCGCGTAGCACGCGTTGGGGTTCAAAGTGGCTTAGACACCAAGAACACAAAACCGAGTTCCAGCCTCTATTCGGTATTAGCAACATGGGGAAACGTGAGTCTCGTCACATTTCAGAGGGCGGAAGGGCACTTCTTTCCTCTTCCTCATGCGCGAAGAAGTAGCGGCCTACTCAGCCAACGGCCAATTACCGTGAGCTGTCGGGGTCTGGCCGCGCGGTCCAGACTTACCTGTCGGGCTCTCTGCAGCGCATCTTTGAAAGCATCGTTAACTCCTCCACCACCACCGCCGCCGCCTCCACCACCAGCTGAGCCAGAGGAGGGTGGAGGCACTGTTGAATAATCTGCCATGCCTACTCTACAGTGGCCGCTACCGCTTCTTCGCAGGAACCTCTCAACCAACTGCTAAGAAAGAAAGAAAATGGCGGCCGCCGAGGCTGTATCACATTCTTGTGCGACCATCGTGCCGTAGAGGGGCGGAGACTGAAAGAAGAAAATCTCGCGATGTTTTGAAGCAACGAGCTGGTGTGGGGGTGAGGCTGGAAAAAGCCAGGCAGCGAGATATCGCGAGAATTGTCTTCAGATTTCGCGAGAATGGGGTTTCTATCGGCGCCTCCTCTATGTGCGTTCTTGGGTTGAGGCGGTGCGGTTATCCCTCTGGTTAGTGGATAAGATTGGTGAGCTGGCCGCCGTCTGCTTGAATTTTTGAAAGCCTGGAGGAAAGAAGTAGTTTCTTATCGGTCGCCGCCTCAAGGAGGTAGAATGGGTGGATTTTCCGCCCAGGATCATTCTGTGTACTAATGGGGAAGTGGGGGACGTCGATAGGCTTAACGGCGGCGCAACAGTGTCTAGAGCGTGCCGCCGGGAGGGCATCTGGGAGACGCGCGCTTTGGCCGCCGCGCGGTGATGCTCCCGAAAACGTCCGCCCGGCATAGCGGGAACGCGGCATGATTTTAAGGGTAGTGAAGTGTCCCTGCATTTTACTTCTAGATTGTCAGTTTTGAGTTTTGTCACAAGTGGGGATGAATTTAGGCCGGAGGCCTTCGTTCTCGAGCTGATTTTGAAGTTTTTGTGTAAATTCTTTGGATGAGGCTGTGACGGTATGACTGACCTTTTCTTTACCTTTTTAAAATGTAATTGTTCCTAAAATTCAGTTTTAGCCAGACTCAGTAAACCTAGTATCGTATGTATCCATGGCCAGTTTTATTGAGGTCCTTATAGATAAGAAACAGCGTCCATTTCTTGACCAAAATTGGCTTTGTGGCTTCTTCGAAATAGTTTCCCTCAGCCGCAACCTGTGAGAACTCTGACGTTTTGTATTGTCATCCCGGGACTAGATGATGATGATATTGATTATTTTGTTTTTTGTTATCTACTTCAGTTACCAGGTAATTTCTTTCTGGAGCATATCGTGGCACGTAGTTTACTGCATTAGTGGTTGTAGTTTCAGACCCATTAGAATGCTTTAGGAGTCGATCACAGTTATTTTATTGCCCCCCCCCCCCAGTTCTTTCCCTTTAGATAACAAAGAATGAGGTAAAATGAACTTTACCAACTTTGGTATTTTGTGTTTAGTGAGTTAGGTCTCAAAGAGTACTTTGCCCATTGCTAGTCTTAGAGTAATTAAGAGAAACGTGTGTTGCAGTCTTACTTATACCTGAAATTAATGTATCCACTTGCTCAAGGCCCAAAGTAAGTCTGATAACAGTTACATGCACACAGGTACAAGTGGGCCATCATTTTCCCATAATTAGCTTTTCCTACCATTTTATCCATTTACAGCTCTGATTATGTCCTTCAGTGTGCATAGCCATCTATTTCGATTTGGGGGGGAATTTGTATTTGGAAAAGCAGTGAATGTGTTGGACTACAGATTTAAGCATAACTGGTAAAAAGAAAAACTGTATAAGCAGTGTTGGGTGGTATTGCTAAGTAGGATTTCTTCAGCTGTGCTTTGAGAAAGTCCAATAAATGGCATTTATTAATCAGTAATTTTTTTCATATTTTATTAATTAGACATATACCAGTTAGTCCTGATCAACATAGTGTTAGTCACAGAGTGATATCATTTACCTCCAAAGAAATAAACTTTGTTTCATGTATACCACACTTTTAGTTATCTCTAAACATTGAAAATAAGTAAAGACCTCCATTTCTAGTTTTTTTGGTACAGTCTCCTGGAAGTACGGGTATTCTAGGATGGGAACCATTTGGAATCAGTCAAGATCAGGATTTCTCAACCTTAGCACTATTGACACTTTATGGCCAGGTAATTTTTTATTTTATAGCACTACTGTGCATTGTAGTATGTTTAGCAGCATCCTTGGCCTCTGCCCATAGATGCCAGTAGAACCTGTACCAATATGAGAACCCCCATACCAATTATGACAACCAAAAATGTCTCCAGAGATTGCAGATGTCCCCCGGGAGGCAAAATCACTCCACAGTGAGAACCACTGGTCAGCCTTGATTGCTGCCCCTGATTTTTCCATCAAGAAGACCTATTTACCTTACTTCAGAGGTATATTCCACATTCCACTACTCTTCATCTCCACTACTCCTGAGTTACCGTCACCTCAGTCTTGGGCTGTTACAATAGCATTCTAGTTGTTTTTTCTGCTTCCACCCTTAACATCTTTACAATTTACTTCTAAAAATTATGAAATTTTGTACAGCGAAGTATATAATGTATGTATGTAATGTCTCAAATGTAACAAGCACCCATGTATCTGCTTTCCAGGAATGTTCTCCAAAAAGTAAACCATTACCAGTACTCTTGAAGCTCAAGGGTGCCTCTACTTGAATGTATTACAATTGTTTCTTCATATAGCAGCTTAGAAGCTTTCTTTAAAACATAAATCAGATCATCTCACTTAGTCTTCTCTCCTGTTGCACTTTATTATTTTTTTTTAATTTTTTTTTTCCTGTTGCACTTTAAATCCCGTCTGCTGGAATGGCCTAAGGGCGCCATGTAATCAGGCTACTATCTAAACACTCCTGCTCCTCATTTTATTTGAGCCACCTTGCTGTCCAAGAACATTCCTGCCTCTAGGGCTTTATGCTTGCATCTTCCTCTGCCTGATTCAGATGTTCTTATAGACCTTCACATGGATGATTTGTCATCGTTTGGGTTTCAGTTCAGATGTCATCTCCCTAGACCACCTCTGACCTCTGTTGTGCCATTCTGCAATCACTCTCCAATTACCATGTTCTCTTTATAGAATTTATCGGAAATTACGTCGTATGTGTTTACTCGTTTATTGTCTGTCTTCCATTAGATTGTAAACTGCTGGAGAGCAAGGACCGTGTCTGTCTCTACCACTGACTAGTCCCTAACACATAGTCTTAGATTTCTAGATATTTGTTGAATGAAGTAATGTCGAAAAAAATCCATCTCTACATTTTAGTTGATTTTGTGACCTTGGTCAAGTGAACTTAGATTCTGTGTCTCAGATTTCTCATCTACATAATGATCATAACCTGCATTGGTATCCTCAAATGAGGTATCTCTGTGAGCTCTTCAGAAACTGGAAAGTGCTATCAAATGGAAATTGGCTTTATTAAACATAGAATTTGGCTTCTGGTATTTCATAATTAGGAAAGGATAATCCGTGGTACTCCACTTCTATAAATTTTTTGGATTAAACATCTATGTTCAAATCTTAGTTTTGGTAAAACCCAGGATCCTGTAACAGCAACCGAATTGTAGGAAAACTATAACCAGTGACTTGATTTGGTTATATGTGAATTAGTTCTGAGTCCACTCAGTCTTCTCAAAGCCATTTGTAGTTTGCTGGTTACTCTAGATAATTTCATTATAACTGATGAAATCAGACTTTGCTTGACTAAATGCATTTCCCTTTGCAATGTAAATCCTCTTAAAAGTGGATGTGTCATAGCTAATCTAAAACTGGTTTATTGTGCTTTGAGAGATTGGCTAAATTTAAAACTGAATTCTATTTTATAGTCACTGTCTTATCATAGAAATTAGTATTCCATATTTCATTCTCAGGATGAAGCAAAAGTCAATGTTTTTAAGCTTATAAAAGTCTAGCTGGGGCATTCAGATTTATCAAATAACAGAATAAAAAGATTAGTAAAGATGGTACAAGTTGGGCTATTAAATGTACTGGCAACATTCTTCATTTTACCTTCTGATTTATTGGTTACCAAATGACTGATTCTTTCTCAGCATAACTTTCCACTGTTGGATTAGTTAAATCTGTGTGAAATATTAACAGATTCTTATTTTATAGCTATTGGAGAAAAAGTCCATTATAGCTTTTTGGATAGGCATTTTAGAGTGGCAAAATTGTACAGACTTCCTGCCTCATCTTTATATCTATCACCCACCTCCTAACAACTCTTAGCCAAAAGGAGCTGATAACTTTATGCTGTATTCTGTGTGTCATTTGAACCAGGCCTGTATTTTCTCACTGCACAGTCACAACAGATTCAGGTTAAATGTGAGGAGGAAAGTGGCCAGTTAGTTCAAAGTAAAGTAAGTGGTCCAGGATGTTGTTTTAGGGTATTTGATCATTAATGTTGGTCATTGGTCTTAATGACTTTTGTATCCTTTCTGATTGAGTTTGTAGGATTCTGTTTCAGACTGTGTGAATGGAAGCAAGAACTATCAGTACTTGCATTATAAAGGACAAAGTTGTTAACACAAATGTAACTTGGGAACTTTGTGGAGAACAACAGTTTGACTAGTGTCTGAAACTGGAGGCAGCCCCATGTAGTGAAAAGAACTCTGGACTTGGTCCCAGAGGATCTAGATTCAGGTGTGACCCATGTGCCCTTTGGTAAGTCACATAACTTCCTTTTACCAGCATAGCAGAGACGGCAGTTTAATCTGTTTTTGAAAAGTAAAGGATAATTAAAATGTCTTATGTTTTTACACCATGATTTCTGTCTTTTCTCTTTCAGAAGTCACCATAGTATCATCTCACCCTCAGTTATTAGAAATTTCTTCTCTGATTTGGATTTCAGATTTAATAGTATGTCCTGATTGAAAGGCTGTTAGAACATTGACAGATCCTCTAGGATATTGCTCATGACCATTGATTTGCCATAAATCCAGCCGTTTGCCGTCCTTGTCATTCCCACCTATTCATAACTGTAGAGCCCTTGGGCCTTTGCACATATCTTTCTCTTTGTCAGGAACACTCCTCACCTCTTTCATTTCACTGTTGCCTGTTGAAAATTTTCCATTTTTCCAGAAAAACTGTCCAGACCTATCAAATTTAGGGATTCCTATTTGTATTCATGTACCATATCATGGTAATAATACCATAATATCAGTTATTGTTTAGAATTCCCACTAGATTGTAAGGTTCATGACAGTAAAGGCTATGTCTTTTTCTGTGTCTTTACTGCATAGCACACTCTAAAATGCTATATACTGGGCATTGTAAGTGCTTTACATGTATTTTATTC